AATCAACTCTAAATGGATCAAAGACCTAAACATAAAACCTCAAACTATAAGAACCTTAGAAAATGCAGGAGACATCCTTATGGAACTTGAAACTGGCAACAATTTCCTGATCAAAACTCCAAATGCCTTTGCCATAAGAGATAAGATAGACAGGTGGGACCTCATCAAATTGACAAGCTTCTGCAAAACCGAAGAAACCATTAAGAAAATGGGAAAACAGCCCATAGAATGGGAAAAAATATTTGCCAATTGTATGTCTGACAAAGGCTTAACATCTGGGATCTACAAAGAACTCAAATATGCTGAAAAGAAAAACAAACAGCCCCCATTACAAAGTGGGCAAAAGATATGAATAGACACTTTTCAGAAGAAGACATACAAGCAGCCAACAGATACATGAAAAAATGCTCAGCCTCGATAATCATTAAAGAAATGCAAATTAAAACCACACTGAGATACCACCTAACTCTAGTCAGGATGGCTCTCATCAATAACAAAAAACAACAGGTGCTGTAGGGGTGGGGAGAGGAATACTGGGAGTGTAAACTAGTACAGTCTCTATGAAAAACAGTGTGGCGATTTCAAAGAGAAACTGTTTTAAATAAGCTGTGAAGTACTTGGATTCTACTCAACGTTTTCTTCTCAGATTCTGTATCTCAACCCCATGGCCCTGTTTCTTCTCTATCACCATTTCTGTTCCAATGGGCAGAGGAGAGCTCTGAGAACACACACACACACACACACACACACACACACACACACACACACACACACACACCCCTGGGCTGAATCTTGTGACAAGGAATGTCACAAAATTACCTTCAAGTTCCTGTACCCCCTCTACCTCCCCTGTTCTCTGCAGAATTCAATTTCCATAAATAAGCTCCTGGGAATCTCTTCTTCTTTCCCCCCCTTTCTTCACTCACCTGTTTCTAGCCATCCCTCTCACCCTGAAATGCCACACTGAGGGACCCCATTCAGCCTTGTGCTTCCAACCCTTATAGGTTTTTGCCCCTTCTGCTTTATCAAGTTGTTGATCCAGGATGAAATAATACAGAAAGAGGGGGGAAGAGTTAAAGCTTAAGAGTTGACTGGGATCTAATCACGGCAACATGTGCTGTTGGGCTAAAGCTCAGGTTACAAACACAAGTGTACAACAGGGCAAGGCATGTGATACGGGTGTGTGAAGAGGGTCTGCAAGACAGGAAGAACTAAGTTTGCTCTGTTTCATCTCTCTCTCTCTCTCTCTCTCTCTCTCTCTCTCTCTCTCTCTCTCTCT